GCTGCCATAGCTGTAGTTAGAAGTGAGTGTGTGTGTGTGCTCGAGTGTTAGAGTGATGCGTGTGGGATATCCAGGGTGATCCAGTGTATGTGAACAGTGAGATGTTTGGGCGCTGAGGTCGCCATAGCCAATTGGGAGTGAAATTCGTATCTGAAAACCATATCTCTGAGTTTTGAGTGGGCGCATGTCGCCAGTATGCTGCATTACTGTTTACATGTGTGAAAAGTGTGTTTGAAAACGAGTCTGATTGCATCCCGATCACCAGTGCAGCCCCCTAAAAAGACCATGGGATGGGAGGTGGGACGCCCAGTAGCAGTCCCCCTCTTGCAAGGCGGCTAGGGCCACAAGGGTTAGGCTGGTCCCCTCTTCTCGCCTCTTTCCCCCCCTTCTCGTTTCTAAAAACACGCTTGCCTGTGATAAGCAACCGGACTGTCGGGCCCCAGAATAGAAGGGGTATAGTCGTGTCTCAAAAGAATGGATAAAAAAAGGAAAAACACAGCCACGCTCTTTGTATTCTGGGAAGGCACCAGTCCGGTTACTCATCCCCAGCAAGCATGAAAGTTTTGAAAAACAGTAGGAAATGAAAGAGGAAAACATGTTGTCACAGAATTGTTACGATACTGGTAATTCCCAAAGTGCAAATTCACAATGAAAGACAATGCCACCCAATTGCGAAACAAATGAAAGCACTTGCAAAGAGATAGACCAAAGAAGAGAGAAAGAAGAAGAAGAAGAAAAAGAAGAAGAAGAAGAAGAAGAAGATGTACACCAGCACGACCAATGACAAATCCCCCCTTCTCTCTCCACCTTCCTCCTCCTCCTTCACTTTGCCAATCTTATTCTTCTTCCAATAATAATAATAACAATGCGTGGATGAACCAGAATCAATATCCGAAGTTCCCTCTTACTGCTGACATCAGAATAGGTCCACTATAGCTATGGCTTCACCCCTTCTTCCTCCTCTCACATGCCTAGGCTATGGCGGACTACTGAGGGCTCCACCCTGCTTGTGCAAGGGACGACGCAAAGTAGCTATGTCGCTGCACTCCTGTCCAAAGGACAACCCAAAGCAGCTATGCCGCTGCTCACTAAGCCGCCATGCCTGACTCTCCCTCGAGCTTCCTTGGTGTGGCACTACCCCAACTGGGGCCTTCCAGATGCAGCGCCCAACAAGGTGACGAAAATGGTGTTCCCCATAGCCAGGTAGGTACCTCGCCACTCTCCTCCTTCGTCCCCTTCTTCCTCCTCCTCAGGCTGAGCTGATCGCCATAGCCAGGCTGAGAGCCCATCTCCAGGCAGCGCTTCACAAATCCAGCGCTTGGCTCCAGCAGCATATCGCCAATCCTTGCATACAGCAAATGAGGAGCTGCTTGCTCCTCCCAAAGATATAGCAGCCTCCTGGCCTCTTGGGCGGTGTCTTTCTAGGCCGAGCGGCCTCCAAGCAACCGGTACCTCCTTCCTTTCGGAGGGAAACATCATTGCAGGCTCTGCTATCGTCCCGACAGGCCCTAGACTCAGGCTACTTGGACTGGTACCGACCTACCTCTAAACCTACCGCTACTGGGCCTCTAAAAATGACAACTCTTTGTTTTCCCCGCTGCTCTAAGTGTCGTGGGCCTACCCCCACTACTTGAGTGTTTTCCCCGCTGCAACCCTCAAAGTCACGGCCACAGGTAAGTACCGTCCCTGCGGGGCCTTTCAACCAACAAGTACCCTTGCGGGTCACACACACACTCAGCAGACAAGCACTCAGACAGGCACGCAAAGCAGCAGGGACGCACACACACACAGACTTAGAAATCACAGCAGAATGCGTGAATCTCAGCAAGGCATTCATTCCAGCGGGAAATCCCAGAAATCAGCAGTGTTCACAGTCTGTGTTTTGGAGGGTCATTACAGAGTTAGAAAAAAAAAAAAAAAAAGAACCCAACAAAAACAAGCACGGACCTAACCACAGATATGCCGTCAGAAGGACATGAAACCTCTCAGAAGAGTCGGAACACTTACATTCTCATGGGACAAAAAGCCCTTGATTGTCTGAAACTGCAGAAACTTAGCAACGTTTATCACACGGAGTCACACACACAGTGTAGAACAGTCCTAATCCTACGAAGAAAATCCTAGAACGTAGTACAGAACGTGGTATATATGCATTTGCCATTCATAAACTGTAGCAAAGGATTAGCCGTCCCATGATCCACTTTATAATGTACTCCAATAACGACTTCGCGTTGGAAACTAACCAGACTGTTACTCTCCAGAATGGGCGGAGCCTCGCTAAAGTTTTTTGTTGAGAACACAGATGGGGATAATGGGTCATGTTTCACACCTGTGCACGACGAAGACCAACTTTGTTCTTCTGAAGTTCTTCACTCTTTGCCTGAAGCATCTGTTCCAGATCTCCTAGTTGACATTTGACTCTCCTTTGTGCAGCAATACTCTCCCGCCTCTTCTCTGCCAGGGACTCTCTCCTCCTATCTATTGCGCTCTCAAGCTTCGACAAATCTTTTGCACGGGCTAGGGTCTGCCCCCTGAGAAGCTTCAGCTCTCGCTTCATTTGAATTTTTTCTGTCTGCAAGACCACATGTATTTGTATGAATCAGACTCTGAAACCTCGCGCCCGGAATTATGATGCCCACCTCGCAGCAACTTTCATTTGGCATCCAATAATCTTGATTGACATCAGATAGCCGTAGCTATAGAAGTAAAGAATGGGTCAAACCCTTGAAAATAAAATTCATTATTGAAGATGGAAAATCCAGAAGTTTTCCGAGAGGGCTGGTGAGTGGTGTGGGCATGGTTTACAGTTAATCCTTCCTAGCCAGAGCAGCTAATGCTGTCAGGGTTCCCCAGGCCGTAGCGCAGCGGAGTTTTTGAATGGGTATCATCTTATTCAAGGGGAGCTGGTCCTGGTTTTCTGCAGGTGATTCTTCCCGCCAATCGAATGGAGCTGTTGTCATCCAGAAAAAAGAAAAGAAATGACATGCCAAACAAGAAAATCCAGAAGCACAGATTTACTCACTGACATGCCGAACAAGAAAATCACGAAGCACACATTCTCCCCTGGTATAGCCCACACCTACACCACCATCAATACCCCTGCACACTAGACTTCAAGTGCTAACGACCAAAGGTGTGCCAAATTCCTCCTCTCGAGAACAAAAATACTTCCTGGTTCTGCAATCCCAGGCACCTGGACTGAATCAGGCTGGTCCTGGTCCAAAAACCTGGCTCCGAAACCAGATCAGACACATCCTGCCACATGTGTGCGCTGGTGAGCTGGTCCTGGTTTTCTGCAGGTGATTCTTCCCGCCAATCAAATGGAGCTGTTGTCATCCGGAAAAAAGAAAAGAACTGACATGCCAAACAAGAAAATCCAGAAGCACAGATTTACTCACTGACATGCCAAACAAGAAAATCACGAAGCACACATTCTCCCCTGGTCTAGCCCACCCGTACACCACCATCAATACCCCTGCACACTAGACTTCAAGTGCTAACGACCAAAGGTGTGCCAAATTCCTCCCCTCAATAACAAAAATACTTCCTGGTTCTGCAATCCCAGGCACCCGAATCAGGCTGGTCCTGGTCCAATCAGGCTGGTCCTGGTCCAAAAACGTGGCTCCGAAACCAGATCAGACACAGCCTGCCACATGCGTGCGCTGGTGACCTAGGTTTGCAAAAATATCCGTTTGTGAGTTGGTCCTGGTCCAATCAAGCTGGTCCTGGTCCAAAAACCTGGCTACGACACCAGATCTTACACAGCCTGCCACATCCGTGCGCTGGTGACCTAGGTTTGCAAAAATATCCGTTTGTGAGTTGTTATGACCTGCCTCCAACAGGAACAAATCGTTATCAAGCAAGTAAAATTGAATGCAAGGAAGCAACTTCTCAGGATGAGCCTTGTGGGTAATTTTTCATTGGCAAATTTCACGGATCCACCAGGCCAAAACCCAGAGTGGCCTAGCTCAGTTGGTACACCCTTGAACTGTTGAAATACAGACCAGAGTTCGACTCCAGATGAGTAAAATAATGCAATTCTGAATTACCTAGGACCCGTCAGTTCGATGATGATATCTCAAGGCCATTGCCTTTTTTTTGAAAAGAGGCAGAGCTCGGAATGCAATCAGATCTGCAGTACTGCTGCAAGATTGGATTGTGATCAGGGCCCCAAATATGCGATTCAGGAGTGGCACTTGGATTCACAGATGTAACTCATCCAGGCTTGGGGAACCTAACCGGATAGACTTAATCAAGGACTAGGGTACCTGTTGCGGCTACGCCCGCAACAAAAATGAAAAGTTTGGCAAGAAGTTTATGGACTCTCTCTCTCTCTCTCTCTCTCTCTCTCTCTCTCTCTCTCTCTCTCTCTCTCTCTCTCTCTCTCTCTCTCTCTCTCTCACCCTTCGATGGACCACGGATCAGATATGAAACTGGTTTAACTTCTTCAGGGCCAAAGTACAGTCTCTATCCCATTCCCAGATTGCTTCTTTCTTTAACAACCTGCGAAGGGGTGTAGCGATAGTGGAGAAGTTCCTCACAAACTTTCTATAATAGTTGGCCAAGCCTAGGAACGACCGCAACTCTGTCAATGTGCGGGGCGTCGGGCAATCCCGGATCGTTGCTATCTTATTGTCCTCAGGTTTTATACCATCTCCATCTAAGACGTGGCCCAAGTACAATACTTGCGTCTTGGCCCACTTGCACTTCARGACCTGCTTTAACTTCTTCARGGCCAAAGTACAATCTTTATCCCATTCCCAGATTGCTTCTTTCTTTAACAACTTGCGAAGGGGTGCAGCGATAGTGGAGAAGTTCCTCACAAACTTTCTATAATAGTTGGCTAGGCCTAGGAACCAACTCAACTCTGTCAATGTGCGGGGCGTCGKCCAATCCCGGATCGCTGCTATCTTATTGTCCYCAGGTTTTAKACCATCTCCATCTAARACGTGGCCCAAGTACAATACTTGCGTCTTGGCCCACTCGCACTTCTTTGCGTTAATCTTRAAGTTAGCTTCCTAGACTCCCTCKACATAATCCTYGACTCGCATGGTGCGGTTGTCTGCGAGGATACTGACTATAGGGTCTTCTAACTCCTAGACCTTTTAGATTTAACTTCAGCTTCTGCAGCGCTTTCCTACTAATATAGTTGCGGGTGGCCCCACTGTCTACAAGGGCCCCTACTCTGCCTCTAAAGACCTCTACATCTACTAAAACTAGCTGTCTTGTCGCATCCTTCTTCATCTTGGCCCAGGCAGGTATCCTCTCCAACTTTTCTACCCCACCTGTGAGGGAAGTGCCTAGAGAGACTCTAACACAAGCAGTCTCTGGACAACTGTCTAGGCACTGGCTGGACAACTGTCTAGGCACTGGCCGACAACCTCTACCATAGACACATGCAACGCTTTCCTACTAATATAGTTGTGGGTGGCCCCACTGTCTACAAGGGCCCCCACTCTGCCTCTAAAGACCTCTACATCTACTAAAACTAGTYGTCTTCTCGCATCCTTCTTCATCTTGGCCCAGACAGGCATCCTCTCCTTCAACTCTCTTGCCACACCTGTGAGGGAAGTGCCTAGAGAGACTCTAACACAAGCAGTCTCTGGACAATTGTCTAGGCACTGGCYGACAACCTCTGCAATAGACACATGTGGTTTGGGAGTTTCTGTGTGGTGCGCRCACTCTTCTCCACATGGTCTAGGGATAGGGGCAATTGCARTCCCTACAGGCGGTTGCCTTTTGCTGCTTGTGCARCAAATCGGGCATCTCTGTACTTAGAGGCAATATTTAATGATATGCCCAGGATCACCGCAATAAATACACTGATCCTGGTTTATTCTCTGTTGCCACACTATTTGTTCTAGGTCCAGGTCTTCCTAGGGTGCGATCCACCCCTCCTGGGAGGTGATCGGTTGTAACCAAAGTGGTTTTGTGGGGGACCTTGACCCCTACCTCCCGCTTGGCAGCATCATCTACCACCAACCCCTTGATCGCCCTGTCCTCGACCACCGGAGGCCCTGCCCCCTTGGCCCCGACCGTGTTGGGGGGAGGCACCTAGTTGGGTTCTCTCTCTCTCTCTCTCTCTCTCTCTCTCTCTCTCTCTCTCTCTCTCTCTGCATCTTACCTCTTGCGGCTGCGTGCGTGCACACGCCCACTTCCCCTTACTTTTTTCTTCCCGAAATCACTTGTGTTTCCGGTTTCTTTTATTTCCAAAATTCTTCCCTTGTTTTTTTTTCTCCATTGAACTGATCAGTATGCAAACGGATTTTCCATTTTCTTTTCCCTTCTTTTTTCAAGTTCTTGATCGACAACAGATCAGATATGAAACTGAACGGAACAGATAGTACACGTGATCGTGGGGGGATGGTCGAGTTTCTCTCTCTCTCTCTCTCTCTCTCTCTCTCTCTCTCTCTCTCTCTCTCTCTCTCTCTCTCTCTCTCTCTC